AAATGCAGGAATGTGATTAGTACTACATATGCCCGTGCATTATGCAGGATTAGCAGCATCAAAGGGAGGGGATATGGTAAATGCAGGTATGTGAATAGTACTAATTATGCCCGTGCATTATGCAGGATTAGCAGCATCAAAGGGAGGGGTAGCATTAATAAAGGGAAGGAGAGTTAATAGTATGTAGCTGCAGTAACTAAAACCAACACGTAAACAACTAAAGTATAAACTACATAGTATCATCAGTATACTAACAACACTCTATAATAAGCTGAGTTACTAACAGTAAGTAATACATTACAATTCTACGTCGTAAAAATTATATAATATGCTTACATCTAAACTTTATTCTCTTACATCACACGAGTCTACACCGTACTATATACTGCCATAGACAAACCCAACATTAAAGTATATACTGTATTGCTATAAACCTTATACATTTGTAATAAAGGACTCCGTCACACGATGTTGATCTCCGTTTGTCCTTTATTTGTGTTCGTTTTCCGCTCACCCCGCTGGCCTCCTCCTCGGCCCAGCGTCGTCTCTCCTTGCGCCCCGCGCACTCTGCAGCTACCCTGCTGCTCCGCTCTGCAGCTACTCTGCTGCCTGTGCAACCTCGCACCCCCTGCTAGTCCTCCACTAGCTCTGCAGCTACTCTGCTGCTCCATGCAACCTTGCACGCCCTGTGAGCCCCGCGCACTCTGTTCTCTCCTCACTCCGCTGGCTGGCGCCGTCTAGTGAGCCCCTCAGCCACCAGGCTGAGGCACGGCGGCCACCCAACGTGGTCCCCCCTCTTCACTCCCTCGACTGCCCCAGATGTCTTCCGGTCTCCTTCCTATAACTTCTCCCCCACGTGACCCTGACTCCTCCCTCTCCCACGTGACCCTGACTCCTCCCTCGCGGATCGTCACATCCGGCCTGGCCAATTACGCTCGCATTACACCACCCCCCCCCCCCCCCCGTAAAAAAAAAATCCAGCCGTCCTCGGCTGAAACAGGACAAAATAATGCAAGCGAAGGCATCACAATCAGGAATCACCACAGACCCAACGGAGAATAAGAATGGAACAATGCACAACAACGGCAACCGACACGGAAGAACGGCCGACGCGCACAACCCAGGAATGTGGTGTCTTAGAGCGTGTCCATGTTGCTGTTCCATCCGCTCGGCTCAAGTCAAACGTCAAAGAGCAAGTGGTAGAGCAGGAATGACGAACGGGCGCTCAATTGCTCCTTTAAGTCCTCATCCAGTTAGCACACCAGGTAACACCAAGTGTGGCAGGCGCCGAAGATCTGTGACGAGAAGGAGAATCCAACCCCCTGAGGCACAGCGCAACAACGCATATCCGCATGTCGTACACGACAGCCACCCGGTCCCAGGGTAGTGGAGATGATGTAAATCCGGCCCGCTTAAGAAAACCCCACTAAATACCCAAAATAGACGCGATGGATGCCCCAGTATTTACATTTTAACAACAATATTATTTACACGTGACAACAACAACAGCAAAAAATTCCTGCTCTTGCCCACCAGCAGTCCTCCCTTGAGGACCAGCACAGACATCGCACGTACACAGCATGTACCCACGGTCACTCTCAACAAAGCCCCCAGTCGCACACCCTCGCGTGGAGAGAGCCACGCTCCCCAGCGGTAACGTTTAACTCGCCCTAACCCTCCCTGTGGTCGTCAAACCACAGCAACATCCACTGACCATACTCTCGGCTAGTGCAATTTCGGGGATGAGCAGCAACTCGGCCATGCTCCTCCCTTGCTAACCCATCAGCGATGGACACACACCAGCATCTTATAGTCTGACGCTTTATAGCCCAGGGAAGGTTCATCCCCCGGCAATGCCAGACCCCATCGACCCCCCCCCCCCCCACCACGGGGCAATGTTCTCTTATAGATTCAATAACGCCCTAACCCAGAGTGGAACAAGTCCGCGGCCCTTCCAGCTGGAGGACCCACAAAGAGAATCCCCGCTCCATGCTAGCCAGGTTACCCCGTTCGCTGGCACGTAACGGAACCTCTACTCCACATCCCGTGAGCCCCCGGCACACCAGGTTCAGTCTGCCACCGCACAACTGAACCATGACTCCCCGAGCCATATGAGCACACGGCCCATTAGTTTGAGACATACCACGGAGTATCTCGCCTCCGGGCTGTCAGGTCAACCATCAGCGATAGGCCGATGTGACCACAACTCGTGCATCACCCAATCAACAATGGCAGGCATATACAGATGGAATATTAGCCCCACCGAGGTTAAGATCCGAAGTGGTTTATTACGTCCTTCCAATGATTGCTGAGCCAGAATCCATCTTCTCGGTTGAAATTGTCTCTGTGTTTGTATATGTGGATCGCCTCATGAACGAATCTCTCATGGTAGCCAGATGGCTTGCAGAGAACCTCTGTCTTGGAAAAGTCAATGTCATGTGAGCCCACTGAATTGTAACAGTGATCTGCCACGGCTGAGGTGTTTGTCCTACCGTGTTTCAGGTCTGCTTAATGTTCACGGATGCGGTCTGAGACATGCCGTTTGGTTTCTCCAATGTAACTGCTACCATAGAGGAAACTTAGTTTATAGACGCCAGGGTACTGTATGTCTGGAACCACGTCTTTTACAGACGGGACCAGATCACGGATTTTATGTACTGTGTTGAATCGTACCTGAATCTTGTGTTTAATCAGGATTTTGGAGATCTGTTTTGTGACCCCAGCAATGTAGGGTAAGGTGATGGTTTTGAAAGGCTCCTCAGCAGGATCCTTCTTGATGGTTGGAGTGATGGCTTTGCGGATTGTGTAGTCGGAGTAACCATTAGCCTTAATAGCTTGGCGTACGTGTTTGAGTTCAATGGCAATGTGTTCCTGGTCGGAGATGCATTGGGCTCTATGGTATAGTGTCTTGATGAGGGAGTTCTTCTGGGATGGATGGTGGTGGGAATCCGGTTTTAGGTAGGCATCCGTATGGGTGGCTTTCCTGTAGACAGATTGGCTCATTGAACCATCAGGTCTCCTTTTAATTAGGACATCCAAAAAGGGTAGCTTGCCATCGTTTTCGACTTCCATGGTGAATCTGATGGCTGGGTGTATGGAATTGATGTGATCGAGAAATTGGTCTAGAGCAGGCCGGCCATGTGGCCAGATGACAAAAGTGTCATCTACGTACCTCTTCCATAAGGTCGGGCGTAGAGTGGCAGCCTCTTGTTGCAGCAGCTATTTCTCCTACGTCGGCAATTCTCCTGCTGTGTTTGTTTCCCCTGATGACGGTTGCTTGTGTTGCGATCGAAACGTCGTGATCTATTCATTTTCTATCTTAGTGACTTTCCCGAAAGAACCAGAGAGTATTATCTCTCTACTCACATTGTTACACTCACACGCTGCACACTCATTCACATATTTAAAGTCAACACTCAACACACAATCACAACACCTCTGCCGCTGTGACGACTCCTGTGAGGCTGCTCACACATCAGCAGAACCTGCAGGGCGCGCGTGGTGGTGCTGGGGTGGTGGGGTAGAGAGTGGGCACCCCCACCACTCACAACCACGCCTCGTGCAAGGACAACTTTCGAGTCGGCGCCAAAACGACGCACTTCACCACACTCACACACACAGCACTCACGCGCGCGACACACACGCGCGCGACACACGCACACACGTGATTGCCGTGTATCCGTGGCTGGGGGAGGGGGAACTAGATAGGCGTCGCGCGTGTTTGTCGCGCGCGTGTGTGTCGCAGTTGTGGTGGGTGCGGAGCCGTCCAAGCCCCCTCCACACCTGGCGTCACCCCTCCCCATCACAAGTCTCCAACGACACGTCTCCCCACTCGGTGCCGCGCCCCACTGTGGGGTGCCCGCACGGTGCCGACCTGGTCTCCGTCAACCTTTTGGTTGAATTCCGCGCCCATTCTTCAACGTGGCCGCTGCCTCGGGCGGATTCACGGGCGCAGTAGAGAACGCAGCAGCGTCCGACACAGTTACTCGTCATCAACTGCGCACTTGATTCTGCGTATCCCTCCATTTACGACCGTGCAGCGTGTTGAGATCCACTGGACGTGAGACGTGTTGATGACACCCCACAAGCGGGAGTGATATAACAGCGGCAATAATGATGATGATGATAACGACACCACCAAGCCGTGGAGGCTGCGTGGCTCGCTTACATCAGCGCACCGAGGTGGCGACGGCTTGGAGGGGGCCTTCATCCAGCAGCGGATAGACCACGGCTGAGCCCCTACGCGCCGCGTGCACTCACAACCACGCCTCTGTGTGCGTGGGGGGTGAAGTTTGACCATACTTCACCACGCCGGTCACTGCGGCTTGCTGAAGGGACCCAGAGGACGTCTCCCCCCTCCACGGCGTTGTGCGACGTCTCGAGACGCTCCCCGAAACGGGGCGCTCAGAGAAAAAAAAACCCGTTCCGGCTGCAGTGACGATGATTGTCAACACAACTACGCCGTGGACGACCAAATATCAGAGGTGTCCCGGTTGCGAGTTGGAGTCTGCACGCAGCCGGGATAAGCCGCCCCTGCCAGCGGGTGGCGGCCGTGGGTGTCGTGGAGGCTGTGGGGGTAGTGGGGGACGTGTGGGCTGTGGGGGCCGCGGGGTCAGTTGTGGTGGGTGCCTTTGAAGGGCGCCACTTACACACAGGGGCGGGGGAGGTCTAACGTCTCTTACTAAGCTACAGTAGGGCACATTAAGCCCACAGCTCACGGGAGAAAAGCAAAGATCGACACACGAGATTGCGGCCTTTGTGTCACAATATGTGTGCACTGGAATGTGGCTGCAGGAATGCGCGCGAGCGCAGGAAGCATCGCTGATTGGTTGCGGACGGTGCGATGGGCGGAGCTTGCCTCGTTGCGACCAATGGGGTCGCATCGAAGAGTTCTATTTATACGTGTTGTAGGTATAGAAAACACAGGACAAGAAGAGAGACAGAGACACGGGACAAGAAGAGAGACAGAGACACGGGACAGGCTGGGGTGAGTACTCATCAAAATCACAACCTTTATTTATCCTGCACACAAAGTGTGAATAGATCCGTCTTGAAGGTGTTCATGGCATCGTGATAATATTTGCTGTGATCTATTCTTAATATCTGTTCGAAAACATGCACAACACGTTGAATAAACACATTTAATGTATCCTCAATTATCGACAATATATATATAAATAAATGGATATGACAAATGTAAACAACTATTCTTATTTTTTATACAAGGTGTTTTAAAAGGATGGACCCAATTTCAATGTATACTGCTGTGAAATTGGGTCCATATTTTTACAACACCCTGTACTTTGATACTGGCAAAAAGGTCCCATGGTGAATTCTATAATTTTCCAAAGTAATAAAAATATATATTTTTAAACACGCTTTAATGAAATGTACCGCACGAGTAATGGCAGAAATCCACGACTCCAGGAAGTGGGCCCGAGGCTTGCCATAACGTCAGGGACCCTGGTGATTTACAGCCAACGTGAGTTGAGCATCGAGAATTAGACCCGTAAAAAGATATATATTTTTAATGATAGAATATAGTCTTGTCATCAGTATGACATACCTATACCAAGTTTGCAGTCGATACATTGGGAAGACGGTTGAAATTGAGTTACAAGATTTGAGGATACGACAACAGAGTGAAATAAAAGCATGTAAAATGTTTAAAAATATATTTTAAAAAATTTTAATAATTATAGAATATAGTATTGTCATCAGTATGACTTAAGTATACCAATTTTGCAGTCGATAGCCCATTGGAAAGTGGGTAAAAATTGAGTTGCAAGATTTTTTGAGGATACGACAACAGACGAGTTAAATCTCACGTTTGTTGCTATGGGTGGCGCTGTGATCCCCCATAGCCCCACCCCTCGGAGGCGATTCGTATAAAAGGCGGGGTGCCGGAGAGCTCGAGGTCAAGTGTGTGAAGCTTAAACCAGTGAAGACTGAAGACCGGCAGATAGACCCTGGGACTCCCCTGGCTCGCTGTCCTTCTCAGGACCAGGCAGGGCAAGCCAGTGGCGTGGCCCTGAGAGCTTCAGGAGCGATGCTCTTGTAAGAGCACGTCTGGTTGGCTGGGTGCCGGGATCCGTGCTTGACCAGGGCCGGATCAGACAGCCTCCCCTAGCACTCTTAGCGGAGGACTGGGAGTAGATCAGTCAGGGGATAGTGCTAGGGGTGTTTCCCATTGAGTACGGGTGAAGGGGCCGTTACCCTTTCAAGTATTGTGTTACCGCCCATTGGTCAAAAAAACAAGTGTGCCTCAACTACGTCGTCTCTGTCTCGCTGAGAACCCACTACACACACACTACACTATACACTACACAACAACAATAATCATTATAAACAGCGTCGTTATGGAGACTATATATAACAAAAACAAGCCTTCATCTGCGACAAAGAGCTTCATAGCTCATCGGATTCTTCCCGTCTAAATAAAGATTCTGATTCTCACCATGTCCTTCACATGAACAGTAACTCTCTCTGCATCACGTGATGTGTGGGCCCCGTGCCTCCTATTGGCCGTGAATGTTGAAACTGCTCCAGAATTTCCTTCCACTGAGCCCCTGCCGCTGAGATGATTCACTCCCAGAAGGTCGTGTGGCTGATGGGATGAGTCAACATTCTTGTGTACTTTCACGTGGAGGGACAGATATACGAAGGTGCTTGTTATGTGTTACTTGTATTCTCCAAAACAAACTAAACTATTTTTATTTGACCAGGTAAGACCCCACTGAGCTATGTACAGGATTACGATGCACATTCGTCTGGTTAGGGACCAGAGCATGGACGAATGTCAAAAATGGACGAATGCAAAAGCAGAAGCTTTAATTAGCTTGCAAATGTATTTTGGCTGGCGAAAAACGTACATTCAAATAACTACAGTCAATAAAAAATATGTACGTGCAAATAACTGCAGTAACTATATAAATTGAGAACCTTATGGGTTTATTGCTGTTCTACCAAACCGTCTGTTCCCTCATTGAAAGGAAACCGGCTCACCCTGCCCCACTTTAACCGCTGGTGGTGAGTGGAGCGAGAGATGTGATGAGCCACTCTCTTCTGTGTTCATCAAGAGACGGAGGCACCATGAAGTGGGTCCTGGTCGCAGCGTTCATCTCCCTTCTGCGTGAGTTCACACCGAGAAGCACTCACCCAGCACACGTGGAGCGGTCTCCTTCAGAACCCTTTCCACCGGCACAACCGAGCCGTGCCAGCCCAGAGCCCTGACGGTCCTGGTGGTTTTCCACTGCAGTTTGCTGCACTGAGCCAGAACCAAACCACCCTGGCCTCATAAGCAGGGCCAGGTGCAGCATTTATAATTTTCAACATACATACATACATCTCGACTCGTTCACGTCACGGCTCTGCCCCTGCAGTGGAAAAACAGCCTGGCCCCGTCCTGAGCTGCACCACATCGGCTAGGCACAATCCCAGCATGGCTCAGGTGTGCAGTGGAAAAGAAGTGATGTGTAACCAGCTGAGAGTCCAATGGAGGTCGTCGTCACGATAACGTCATGGCGATGGGGTCCCAGTGCCCCCGTGTAGCCGTGAGCGTCGGTGCCTCCCGTGGTCTCGCTGCGCTGAGACGCGTCCCTCACGCCGCCCGTGTGACCACGTGAGCACTGACGGTGAGGGAGGCAGTCGTGCTCACTCACCAGGTCAGCGGTCTTCCTATCAAATAGCTGATGCTAATGATGCTCATTTTAGGTCACTCTTCAGTGAGCTCCTCGTTTTGTTATTCACTGATACTGGGTCAGTGTAAACGTGAATGTTACAGCACCGCTGTATGTAACGCCTGCATCTAGACTCCCTCTGGCTCTGCTATTGCTGAGTAAACATGTGGTGAGCACTTTAACAACAGTAACCAGTCTCTATCCAGACATCTGTGTTGTCTATACAGTGATAGGGTATTGCTGATCTCTCTCTGTGGAGGCATCTCTCATGAGAGTGACTGGTCTCTCTCTCTCTCTGTGTAGCTGTGACGTCTGCCGTGAAGCTGCAGCTCTCCCTGCCGGAGAGTGTGGATGTGACGGAGGGAGAGAACGTGACTCTTCCCTGCTCATTCTCCTCCCTGTCGACCGACTCGAGTGGCCTCTACATCACGTGGCTCACGATGCCCACACGCTACATAGTAAGCATGTGTAGATGATATCATCAATGTGAGAACCTTTTTCCACGGCAACCCTGAATATTCAACTCAGTAATTGAGAGTAATACAACGTTATTTCCAGGAGAAAAACGCCACCACACAAGGGGATAATGGGCAAAGCTCTACACAGACTCAATCCATAGATAGAGCCAATCTTCAACACTACCTGTAAACCAAATCTATGGCTGTACCATAATCTTCTGGTCACCTTGCAGCCCAAGCCTACAACCCCTTGCATCCCCAGTCAAAGTATTAAGCAAGCTCAATCCTGCTTGCCTATTAAGATCCAATTAGTTAAGGTTCATTGTAATTTCATCGTAGTAGGATTGTGGTTCATGTTCAAATTTGTGTTTTGTGCAATTCCAGATCTATGACTCTCTTCACGGGAATATCCGGCTTGGAATAGCTGAGTTTGCGGGAGACAAGGAAAAGGGCGACTGCTCCCTCAGGCTCCTCAACGTCTCCAGGACCCTCAGCCCCGTGTTTAAGTGCCATGTCATTTGTACCAGCTGTGGGAAGGATGACTTGTGGGAGGAAGGAGAGGTGAAGCTGAACGTGAAACCTGCAGGTGAATGAGAGGGGAGGTCAAGGGTCACAGATCACAGGGTGGAGGGTACAGAGCTGGGGAGCAGTCGTTGTACAGAGAGGAGTCTCGGCAAAGACTCTCCCTGCTGCACGTTTAACCGTGTTGATTGAGTGGTCTCTCTCTGCTGCACGTGAAGCTGTGTTGAGTGAGTGGTCTCTCTCTGCTGCACGTAAAGCCGTGTTGAGTGAGTGGTCTCTACCTGCTGCACGTGAAGCCGTGTTGAGTGAGTGGTCTCTACCTGCTGCACGTGAAGCCGTGTTGAGTCGCTGGGTGGGGCTGTGGTGCTGGGTGCGAGGTGGGGGTCGCGTTGAGCCCCCCCCTCTCTGTCTCCGTGTCTCTGCAGCCCCACGGTCACACGGTGAGGGCGTGAGTGACTCTACCCTCAGCCCTCTAGAGGAGACCTCACACAAGGGAGGGGTGGTGGCTGCCTGGGTCCTGCCTGTCGCCATCTTCATCATCTCCGTCATCTCCGTCATCTCCGTCATCATCATCGTTGTCTTCGTCTGGAAGAAGATTAAACGCCGTCGGTCTTCAGGGCCCTGCCGCCGCTAACGCAGGTGCCCCCCCCCCCTCCAGCCCAGGCACCCGGACCGCCCAGCACCGCCCCTGGTGAATGAGCGTGGACGTGGGCAGACGGGTTGAGCTCTCTCGGTGGCCTCCCACTCGGTGTCACTGACGAGGTTTCACGTTCATGCACCGCTGGGTCTGGGTTCACAGCGGCTCTACGGGGGACGCTGAGCCAACACCGAGCTCTTGGCTGACTCGTACGATGTTTTTTATCAACGGCTGTGTCAGCGACAACGGAATATGAATCTATATTTAGGCCCGGAGGAATCCGATGAGCTATGAAGCTCTTTTTCACAGATGTCCAGTCGGGGGCGAGTCGGCAAGATATAACGCCGTGGCTATGAGATGTTAACTACTTCACTTCGTATGGAGGAGGTCGTGGGTTCGATCCCCACCCTGACGCCTGCTGTGTATTTGGAGCTTGCGTGTCTCTCTCTCTCTCCTCGTGGTGGTCACGTGGATTTTCCTCCGGCTCCTCAGGTTTTTCCCCTCCATGTACAATCAACGTCACCACGCGTTTAGAGTATTTTGGCTGCTCCTATACATTCCCCACGTGATGATGATGATGATGATATCCGCCACTGCGTCGAGCATATCATTTGTGATGGCCAGGTGGTCGCTTCTGACAAAGAGCGACGTAGCTCAGTGGGCCTTGCCGAAGGTGTCCCCCCCTCCAGCCCAGGCACCACGACCCCACCCCTACCCAGCTCCTGATGAGTGAATGTGGATGAGGCATTTAACTGATCTACCTGCCTCGTGTGGCTCTGTGCTACCAAGCAACCACGATTTATATTAAGCTGTAAAGTGCGTTACCATCGTGGTTTTTTGTTTTAGTGAATATTGATTGTATTAAGTGATGTGGTTTAGTCGTTACCGATGTTATTCAACCCCCGGGGTTTTTACATGGGGCTTTAGTCAAATGGCTTGTCGTGTTACCGGGTGGTTCGCTCACGGATGCTTTTGTTTCTCGTTTTCCAGTGGCATTCCATGCGTAGTCTCAGGAGAGAGTGCAGCAGAGGGAGGACAGCTGATGGGACCTTCCAAAGGAGTTGTGGAATGAGCGGCACCATCACCCAGGTGTGAAGACCGGGGCCTCCCCATCGTGAACGCTACTGAATCCCGAGCAATTTTACGCCGTTTCCAGCACTGCATTTGGACTAGAGTTGTTTTGTTACTCGTAGTTTTGTTGCTTCTTCTGCCTCAATCTCGTGAACAGTTTGACTCACAAGGAAGGGGGCTCGCTTTGGGGGCCTTGACAGGAGGGACCCCCCTAGGTGGTAGTCATCCCGAGGAAGGGTGGGACCCCTAAGTGGCAATATAGACCCCGAGGCAGGAGGGGACCCCTCGGGTTGCAGTAGTGCTATCGTCCAAAACGTCGGCATGAGGGCAGGGCTAACACAATGGCAGCTGTGAAGATGTTTTGGTAATCGCTGTCAATCTGATCAAAGTGCGTGGGATCAAAACCGCTTGATATTTACAATCTGCAGTTTACTTGAACACCCTCATGGGCAGCAACATCAGCAGCAGTGAATTATTTTGAGACGCGTGAACAACGTAACATCTTTAGCGATGTGCACAGAGACACGTTCCTCTGAAAACGGGTCGGCTCTGCCGCTCGGTCGAACCCACAGCGAGCCAGACCGAGCGTCTCCGTGCCGACCCCAGGGTTGTTGTGAGCTGGCCAGTGCGATTACATTTCCTGTGGCAGGGTCCAGTGATTACGCAATGCTGCCGCTCGTTCTACATTCGCGTGGCCCATCCGGTGGTCATAACTATTATACACCATTGCACTCGTACACAAACTCCCCTCCCCTGACATCACAAAAGAACAGAGATGGTTATTTATCAGCGTAACTCATGCTAATCCCCTGCCCAACCGCCCGCGACACCACACGGCCTACCGCATGCCCCCCCCCCCCCCCCGCTTGATTCCTCCCCCCCTAACAGCCTATATAAACATGTCTTTTAATAACTCTCTTCATACGCTTCAGTAATTTTGCTGGAGCAGTCACACCTGATGAAGGATGCTTGTGTTGCTTCCGAAACGTCGTGATTTAATTTATTTGTTTTCATTTAAATATATTTACTTATTTTTCACCTACATGACTTTACCGAAAAAAAACAAAGAGTATGGATCCTTGCAGTAACGAAAACTTCAAATATAGAATCATAACTCTGATGTTGATGAGTGATGGTACCGATCGATGATGTGTGTAGGGTACTTTACATGTGTGCTGGTCAAGTTTTGATGCATCGACTGATCGATTGAGACGGTTTGTTACACTCGCAGTACTCGGCACTACTCGGCACGGTTCCCCGCCTCTCCCCATTTCCACTCCTCCTTCAAGGCCCCCACCTCTTCTCCCTGTCCCCCATCCTCCCCGTACCCATCCCTGTCCCCCTCCCCTCTTTCCCCTCCTCTCACACGCCACCAAAATCAGCTTTAGCTAACCTCCTTGTACCACGTGTAAAGTGCCTTGGATATAAGCTACGATTACCTTACCATTCGTGTATTTTAATGTAACGTTTGCACTGCAGCTGTTAGCAGTGGAATAGAATACACGAGCGATTTGCCAAAGAAGATTTTTTTGGATGACATCATGAGTGTGTAGAGTCATTTCCCGACTATTGACTACGATACTGCTACTGATCATGTACTGTTGCCAACCGTCTGTGCCTTGGAACTGCTAAAGTGTTGTACCAACTGTATTGCCTTCAGCAACAAACCTCAGGGAATTTTATATTGGAAGAGGGCACGCATTGTTTTGGACACAAGCTAATCTTAATAGATTTTTAAAATCCCATATATATATTCAAATGAAGCCAGGCGGTAACGTCTTCAAATGGGTCACGAATGCAATATATTTATCTACGTTAAACATTGTCACGTCGCCTAAGGTCTTCGCTCAATTACCAGCTTCACATTCCTTATTGCCGTACAAATACTGGAGGAAGGGCCTTTTCTATTGATGCCCCCAGGGTCTGGAATGATATTGCCAATAGACTGCAACTTGGATCACTACCCGGGAGATCTTCACTCAAAACTGCTCTAGAGGAGTTGTACACCCCTAGCTGCCACTGCTATTCAGAATGGCCTGAAATCAAATGTATCGTTCCGGATGACCGCTGCAAAGCATGATCCTGAGTTTTGATTATGGTGTGCTTATCTTTAAAGGTGTATTGAGAAATGTATTCTGCTACGGGTGCTCCTTCTGTTATGGAGTGACTCATGAAGCCAGTTGTGGGGTTTGGTCGTACATGTTATGCGCATCGTTTGTTCGTGGATTAGAATCACAGTTCCTAGGATCACTGTTACATTGTTTTTGTGCCTTTATTTTGGTGATTTTTGAGGACGGTTTGGTCTTGCCATGTTTTTTTGTTGTAGTACAGAGTTGGCCTGATAACTTTAATCTACATTGTCTTATGGGATTTTTTTGCACACAGCGTGGAAATACGGTGTTTTTTCTGGAGGACTTTGCTGTTTTTTCCAGGATTTTTTCTGTTGCGTGTAGTCACTTTAAGATGTTTCTTGTTCATGTTTTTGTTTTGTTGCGGTTGCACCCGAGTGAAGAGCCGCATGGCTCACAGGGTTCTACCTAATACATGAAACTGAAACATTGGTTGCGTGTAAAACCCGCATTGATATCTCCTCACGCTGAATGCGAGTGCAGTGGCACGGCGCGTCTCGCGTGGTGCGTCCACAGGAATGCCGTGGCGGTGCTGCGTGGGTGAGCCGCCCCCCGTGAGGGACACTGCGACAAAGTGGCCCCACCGCGGCCTCGTCAGTCGCCGGAAAAGGCAGCGCCGCCCGCCGCGTGCCGCGGTCACGCCCAGCGCCGCATGAAGCTCGTGCGGGGCCTGGAGCATTTGTTGTTATAAAGGGGCCCTAAATAAAAACATATTAAAACACAAATATTTAACTTGCTTAGTAAAGTTATTGCATTTTTTCATTTGCGAAACAGCCAGATAATACGCCAAATCGCTCACCTTAAACACCCAGTCCATAAAAGTTGAAGGCAGTATAGTAATAGAGCAAGTGCAGAATCACTGAACCGGAATTGACAGCTTGAAAATATTTAGCGTGGGGCCCGTAGCATTTGCTGCTTTTGCTACGAGGATCACCCGGGGCACTGTTCACGTCCCCTCTGGGTGCTTCTGTCTCTCCGCCTCCGTCTCTCGCGGCTTCACGGTGGCCGCGTCAGGCACGGGGAGTCGGCACCGCTGACTTCGAGCCATGGGATCTGGCGCGTGGTGGGAGGTAGGGGGTCTTCCCCAAGGGGGACACACGGTGGCCGAGTTCGGATCACGACGGCCTTGCTGGGGACGCTGGGCCAAGCGGCGCTGAGCTTGTGCTGGTGCAGGGGGGGGGAGGTTCCTAATGGCCGTGTAGTTCAGCCCACGTCACAGATGCCCACACACACCGCCTACACCAGGGGTCGGGAACCTTTTTGACTGGGAGAGCCATAAAAGCCAAATATTTCTAAATATATTGCATTGAGAGCCATATAGTATTTTTAACGTATAATAAATTAAATATGTCTTACTTTTAATGTGACTTCAGGTGCCGCGTGGTTTTGCTGATGGCCTTGTAGTCTGGTTCATACGTGGTGAGGTTGAGCTTCATGCAGGCGTTGAGGCCCCGTGACCCGTGAAATTTATCTTCAAAACTAATTTCTGTTTACTTCAAAATGACACAGTATTATTAAGCAATATCACAAGTATTTTAAAATCAGTTCAAAACTGATTTTTTCTTTTATTTTTTTCAACTCAAAATTGTCTGGGAGCCATATGCCGTCACCGAAAGAGCCATATATGGCTCGCGAGCCATAGGTTCCCGACCGCTGGCCTACACGCAACGAGGTGTGGAGGCACGAGACCACGGCCATCCGTCCTCGCAACCGCTGTCGTTGCGAGGACCGACCTCTTTGTGTGCCCATGGGTCTCTGTGTGTGTCCATGGTACTCTGTGTGTGAGTATAATCGTATCGGTGATGTGGAGGACGCTGTATACAACCCGAACACTGCCGACTCAGAGGCCACTGAATGGCGCCGGACAATCGGACAGAAGTTTCGTTTTTTGGACTCTGCTTGCACCACACTGTTGGCCAGCGCTGTGAGCGAGTGATTACACCCTGGGGGTGGGAGGGTACTGCTGCTGCTCAGTGCAGACTGGTTTTAGTATTTTGGAACAGGCAGTCCTTGATTTACGATCACCCGACTTACGAACACCCGACTTACGAATACCCGACTTACGAATACCCGACTTACGAAAACGAGCTTCCACAAGATAGTTATGTTTTAACCATCCCACTTGTGAATGCGAACTCGCGCTTGTGAAATGAACCGCACAGCTGTTATGTTCAGTGGAGCGATCCTCTGAGAGATGAAATGAGTCCCAGCTTCACGCTGGGAGCGAGTGTTTGCTTGAACATTAGCGTGATCTGGACAAAGTCCCATCGGTGAGCTCCTCCTGCAGGCAAGGCTGGGTTGGCTGGGTCTTGTAGCCCGTATGCCCAGCCACCGCATGCCTAAACAGCTTTTGTTTGTAAGGATAGAGGGGGCTAAACGGGCACGGCACAGGCTAGAGAATGAGATGGAGTGATGTGGTGCAAGAGGATGTGGAGCTGAGTGGACTTGCCGATGACTGGTACCAGCGGTGTCAAGATCGGCCTCTGTGGAGAAGGCTCGTGAAAGACGCTGCTACTGGGCAGTTGGAGGCAGTCGCCCTCCAGCAACAACGGAGGGCGGAGGAGCGACGCTCATAACAACGAGCTGAGCGCTGGGTGGCTAAAACGCAAGAAGTCGGCACAGTAGGGGGTATAGGTGGTGCATCTAGCGGTCATCTCGTGTGTGAGTGGGGTGAGCGAGCCACACTGCCACTTACACAGTCAAAGAACCCCCGTATAGCCCCAACAGACTGTTGGGTCAAGTGCTGTTAGCGAGTAGCAGCAACTATGAAGGTCGAAACGGCACACGAGGGGGTGGGTGGCCAGCATCACGCCCGACCGCCTTTGTCTCCCCAGTGGTGATGTTTACTGCACACCGCACCAGATACTCATTTGAGGCTGAGTCTACCTAGGGGCGGTCCACGACCAGTTCAGATAATCGTCACCGGTGTTGGCCATGAGCGGGAATCGAACTCGTGCCGTGCTAAAGGTAGAACCTGTTTGTTGATTGAACATCTTAACACAGCTCTTGTTCATTCCCAGAAAGGGTAAACACCGATAATTATTTTTCATCATTTTCGAAACTGGCAACAAACATCTCATAGACAGCGCTCACAGTGCATGGGCACTGCGTGCACGCGGTGACGACCTCGCCCAGTGTGATGCCGCCGCCACGAAGCCGTTCAACAGGCGCCCTAGCTACGTCCTCGCCACCACCAGGCGACGGAGCCAACCCCGCGTCCCCCTCACCTCACCTCACATGAACACACCCACACGCATTTCCCCCCCCCCATAGAGCTCCGAGGGGAAGTCACCTGGCCGACCGGTTTTAATCCGAGAAACCCTTATCGGGATAACTTTCATGGTTTCCGGTGACCAGGGAATTGGACGACCTCCCCCGATGCTACTTCGCGGCGCTGCGACCGGCATTAAGATTGCAAGGTCGCAGCGAGGGGCCATTCGGCCACCGCGGGTGAAACGCACCACACACACCCCACACACGCAAGTATCGACGGGGCAAGAAGAGGGGCATAAGCATTGTGATGGAGGAGCATAGTTGGAGTGAGCGCCGAGCATAAGCATTGTGATGGAGAAGCATAATTAGAATAAACGCCGCAACACGCAGCGCATCTGATTAGCATAGCATGGAACCCCCCTTATTCCTGACCGGCGCTAAGGTATGGCTACACACCCCTCGCGTCGGGGCCGGGCAGGTGGGGAAACTGACGAC